CAGTAACCTGCCAGATTAAAACAACTAATCTCTCATATTCGGTTAATCCCAAAAAGCTAAACAGGACAATAACTAGGCAAGTGCTCCCATACTGTTGCAAAAAAACAGTAAAATAGTTACAACCCCTTTGGTTTTCCTAATGAGAAATTGCTTTATCTCCCTCCAGTTTAGAAGTATACTTATGCTAGTTCAGAAATAATGCTTAATTGTAATTAACATAAATCAGAGGAAAGGATATGGAAGGAATGCACAGACTGATTTTAGTTCTAACTTTAAGTGATAACCTGCAGACTTTGATTATGACTGCCTCATCAACCATTGCTAACCTTCCGGACTGGATAAACCATTAAGCTAATCAGGCTACAGTCTAAAATACCAGATCAACTGGGACGCCTGCTGTGGTGGGAATTTTCCAAGGTCAAACTGGATAAAGATTATTTATTAGACCGAATTGGTTTCAGTTCTTTAAATTGCTTGTTGCACAGAGCAAAGCAGAACCGTGCATTAATTCAATGCAGGAACTGACATTATTACATTTTTATAAGCATCAAGCATGTGAGAACATCAACGTATTTACGTCTAACAAAGCATAGGTAACAATAATTGGTAGCATAATTGTGTGCGTTTCCCTTCAGATTTTATCTTCCTTCCCTTCCTCCTTCCTCCTTCTCCATCCAAAGAGAAAAAAAGGTGGCGGAAGAAAACAGTTTCTTGACCATATGCCATCTGAAGAGCCAGTGGTCAAAACCAAGGACATCCTTTGGTAGAATCTTGTCACTGAATAGCTCTACAGAAAGTCACCCAAAAATAAGACTCCAGTATTTCATACCATCCCTCAAAACACTGAGTGTGGTCCACTTGCCCCCCCCCCAAAAAAAATGTGTCACCAGATTATCATTTTTAAGGAGACATAAACAGGAACTGATTAAACACATTAGGGAGTGGCCTATATGTTTAATTCAATTGCATTTGTTCTAGTCACACATCCATTTCGCATGTGGTCCTCAATAAATCCACTCCCTTGTGACGTGCAGATCACCACTAAAAAAAAAAGCTACAACATTCCAGTATTACAGAAACACCAACTTTTTGACAAACATCCTTTTCATCAGGAAATCATAATTTTAGCCTGAATTTCCCTACATTGGGCTCAACAACGTGCAGAATTATCTTCAAACCTTTTGGGGTTATTCCATAATAGACTAATACAGAAACTTTAATATCTTTAATAGCCAAATCTTATCTATCGCGCATAGATGGGCAAAACTGAGGAGGGGCTGACTTATAGCTGGCTACTGAAATGAGCCCCTTAAAGCTAACTTTCCTCTCATATTAAGCAAGCACTGGGACAGCCAGGAAGTGAAAACTCAGGAACAGCAAGACACTGTTCAAAGGCTGCTTTGAAGAAAAACAGCAAGTACGGCCAGCTAATCCAGCTCCACTTTGTTTTCCCCCACAGGAAAATAATAATAATTTGTTCATTATGCCCCTTAAATATATTGCTTCCTTTTTAAATTAGGAAACATTTATTTAGCTATGCCTACAAGGGGTAATTTATTTTATAAGCCGATCCAGGCTGTTATTTCTGGAAATAAAGATAATGCAGCGAGTGAACATTTAAAGTTTTTGAAGCAGCTAAGATTCTGAGTGTAAATGTTTGCTTCTGGCTTGCCCCTAAGCAGTGAAGTATAAATAGCAGCAATTATAAAGTTGCTGGGGAAAAAGACTGCTTTCTCCATAGTAATTCATAGTTTATTAGTAAAGAATATACATCTAGTAGATGTATATATCTAGTAGAAAAATAAAACAAAATTAAAAGTGCTGCTTTGTTTCCAGCTCTCCTAGATCAGTATGCCCTTCAATCATCCCTAAGGCTACGGAAAACTAGGACCACAGTCTGCAAGTGATGGAGCCAGAACCCGTTTTGGCTCAGGTCCCATATTTTACCTAACAACCCTCTTTAAAACTAAAAAAAGGAAGCCAGCTGAAATGTTTGAGCCCGTCTCCTCATTCTAGAGCACAAGTGTCAAACTCACCGCATCACATGACGTGTCACAACGTATCGTGACTTTTTTTTTTGCATTGCTGGAGCTGGGGTGGACAGCCTCCGTATGATGCAACTGGCCAACAGGCCGGCAGTTTGACACCCCTGTTCTAGAGCAGCATTTTTCAAACTTGTCTACATGTAAGATGCACGACTTCAACTCCCAGAATTCCTCAGCCAGCATGCTAGCTGGGGAATTCTGGGGGTTGAAGTCATACATCCTACACATTAACAAGTTTGAAAAGAAAACCCCTCTGATCTAGACAGTGTAACAGTAGACCCCAGATAATTCTTGTACATTTTTTGCATCCAGTCCTAAATCCAAAGGCCTATCTTAGCACTCATATTCTGCCTCTAAGCATGACATAAATCATCTGTGTAACATAGCCATAAGTAACTTCAATCAGCTGCTTTAGGCATACAAACATGGAAGAGGAGACAAAAGTAACTTTAGTGGGGATCAGGAGAAGCAATATTCAAAGGCCTATCATTAGATATAGAGATCAAACTGAAAAAAAAAAGAAATTTATTATCATTAAAAGTGTTTTTCCTAGTTGGACAACACCACTTAAGTATGACATGCTTTGAAAGGATTATCCTTTTTATGAACCAAAAAACTGTTTAAAGGTGTGTTTGCAAGATTCAGCTTGCATCCTGTATATGACTATAGAATGATGGTAAGGAGATTGCTTTTAAAGCTGAAAGAAGTGAACTCTTTTCTCATCTCACCAGTTTCTCCCAATCATCACACGTTCACCCATAGCTCAGCATGAAATTGTGGAGCAATCTAGATGGGTAATTTAGATTTTATTATGCTTCACCAGGCATAGCCAGTTTTTTCAGGGGAAGAGCAATAAACTGGGAAAAGAGGCTAAGGATCCAGGAGAACTGAAAGTATCTTCTGAATTATTTAGTGAGGGTGTTGTAAGCCTGAAAAACCAACAGTCTGATAAATTCTTGAATGTTTGCATAGGGATGACTACATACTCCAATGAAACTGAACTGCAACAACTGTTTACACCTTGAAGCTCATAAAAATGTTACCCTCACACTAATATTCGGGCTTTCCTATTTCAGATACAATGGAATGCTTTGTTTCTCTTCCAAATAATTCTCTACACAGTAAACATCTATGACAATGAGACCAGGAAGCAATAATCTGTGGCACTATTTCATTTCATTTCCATCTGCAGGGAATCTGAGATATGGAGAACATTCAATTGTGTGAATAACAGTTGCAGTACTACACATCTATTTTCCAACTGCAAGGACCAGCCTCAAATAGCCCAGAATTATCCAGGTGTCTGGTAGCAGGGGAGAAGCAAAGCATAAATAGCACAAATGAGCATTTTTCTATTAATGCTCCCACCTCTTTAGATTCTGGCCTAAGCCTTTGTCATTAGCTGGAATAACCACTGAGATCCTCATAAACTGCAATAGTATTTCTTCATTATTTATCCAGATTACTATCAATCTTCAAAGAAATGCTTATAATTTAACCTCACCCTTAAACCAGGAACCTTACAGTTTCCTCTACAAATTGAACCAACATAGTTTTTTTTTAAAAAAAAAATCTGTCACTGGTCAATAAACTATCTTTTGCCATTAACAAGCAATGCATTTTTAAAAACACTTAACATCAATCAGCTGTTCGTCAAGTTTACATAACACAATTATTCAATCACTATCCCAAAAAGGTACAAACTAATAGTAAAAAACATGTCCGAAAGCACCAAGTTCAAGTTTCTCATCCAGTCATAATACTCATGGACTATGGACTATCTGTCCCCAGTCTACAGCCCCACAGGATTGTTTTTTGGAATATAAGGAGAAAATAGTAATAAGGATCACTGTTTGGAGCCACTTATCAGAAAATTAATACTCAATTCATCCCAACTCCAACCACAATCCATCTTCCTAAATCTCATTTTACAAAACTTTTGTTAGCTGCCTAAGAAAGTTTATCATCCGCGATAGAATTTATTCAAAAGCTCTAATCTTTAAAAGGACAAAATTCCATCACAGGAATTTTAGTCACAATGACTAAATAATTTATCCCGAATAGCATTAATAAATAGACCTGCCCTCTCTGCATTTCCAAATATGGATCAGGAAGCATTTGAATAGGACTGTGTGAATTTATGCATGCACATTTTGAAATAAATGCCACTGAATTTAATGATACTGAGCCCACCTGAATTGACATTTCCCAGTAGACAGCAATCATTCTTGAGCCTAATAGAATTATCATCATGACTTAGCAATACCGGTAATAAATAGCTTTAAGTGAGTAAATTTAGACTGCCAGCCTAATTTTCCACAACTGCCCTCCCCTGAGCCAAGGACAGGAAGGCATGGCCTTAAAGGGGAAGAAGGAAAAAAGGCTGTCTCAAAGTATGTCCAATAAAATTCAACCCCCCCCCCTCTTTCTTATGGGAGACCGGTACCATGTGACCTATCTGGCATTTCTCCAGCAGCCAATCACAAAAATCCCGGCAGAAGAGGCACTTCCATTCATAAAGAGAGCGGATGCCTGCTACAGAAGTTTGAAGCAGGTATTTATTCCACCCATTCATTTTTGCAAAGGACAAAAAAAAAAAAAAAAAAAAACACCAGTTCAGCTGCTTATTCTAAACACTGCACGAAACGCTGAAATCCCACTAGATTTTAACGAACACTGACCGGGGTAGAGCTATATATAATCCTATTTTCCGCAGAAAGGGCTACTTTTGACACCAGTTCTAATCCAGTTCTTCCTACAACTGAGATAATGAGGATTTGTCACCGGCAAAACACCAGGGAGACGCATTTCTTCCACCGGAGAACAACTTGTGAAAGGGCTGCTTCCACAACCACCCCCGTCGCTGCTTAACCGACTTTCATTTTCTCTCCAACCCGGCGATCTAGTCACCTGCCCCTCTTGCTACGAGAGAAAAGGCCACCCACTGCTACTCACGGCAGTCTGCTTCGTCGCTATTATCCAAGCAATCATCATCCTCGTCACATTTCCAAATGGAAGGGATGCACCGCTCGTTCCGGCACTGAAACTGGTTCTCTTCGCACTCCTTCCCGGAGCCTGAGAGCAGTAAAGAGAGAGAGAGAGAGAGAGAGAGAGAGAGAGAGAGAGAGAGAGAGAGAGAGAGAGATCCATCCAGTATTTCGAATTGTACGGAAAAACAAAGGTACAAGAAGAGAAAAAGCGCGTGCATGCACACATACACAAACACACGCACGCACCCCGCCGATTTCTCGCAATTCCTTTCTTAGCCGGCAGCCTTCAGCGCGCTAGGCCACGATTCTCGCTTTCCTCAGAAAACGCACAAAGACTATTTGCGAGGAAGCGTCTCCCCCTCAAAGAACGCGCCGTTCTTCCCAGGGCGGGCCACTTTTAGGGAGGTGTGACCGATCCTATATTCCTTGGAGGAGGAGGAGGAGATCGGCAAGCAGGTGGACAACAAAGGATCGTTCCAAGCCAAGAAAGGCGCAGAAAAGATGCGGAGTCTTCTCGCTCTTTCCTTTTCCCCCCAAGAATCCTACACACATTCGGGTATTGCTCGTATAGGGGGGCGACGGCAAGCTGTCGCGCATTTATTCCTCTAATTCCTGGTTGCATTTAAACCGGGCGGAGAAGAGGAACGAAGAATGAATGGGCAGATGGCGAACGAAAACCGCTTTGGAACAGATGATGGCCGCAAGTGAGACCCGTCCACCTCCCAGTTAGCTTAAAGATACTCTCTCCAGGAGCACCGAGTGGCACCCTACCAAATTGCTCCGGGACGTTTAGGATGCTCTACCTGCACACACGGGTCTCTGGGCGATACCAAGCCACACAATAGCTCTGTCAGGCCTGTTTACACACACATACACATGCACACAATCGGATTCCCTCCCGTGTGGGGTCGCGTAACGCCAGCCACACGAGTTCCGAGCAACGGCACCAGCCCGGCACCGGCGAACGCGTGGCTCTCACTTGCTCGGGAGCTCTGAGCCAAGCCGCCCGACCCACCTTTGGCGCTGTGGAGCTTGATCAGGAGCAGATGCAAGAGAAGCAGCCTGGTCAGAGCTGGCCGACACATCGCGCGTCCCTTCCTCGCTAGCTCTGGACCCCGACGCCGCTGGTCGGATGCAAGCCCACGCGCTGCCTTGCAGCCTGTTAACTGCGGGCGGGCGGATGTTTCTTCCGCCGTGTGTGCATTTCAACCCGGCTAGTGACGCTCCCCACAGGGCGGGATTTCAGCGAGCGAGCCAGACCTGAGCATGCCCGCCCATAGGCGACCTGGAGGCGGGACCATGTGGCCCGACCACGGGAAGCAGGACCGCCCTCTTTTTCGATTTGGAAACCTCGGCGGCAAAGCGCTCTAGTAGTGCCTCTTCCGATGTAGGCAGATTAAAGTCTTTGGCTGGTGGAGGATTTTTTTTTTTTTTAATCGCCATCAGTTCAGTTCCAGGTGTGAACGATATTTAGCCATACGTCAATGCTTGCCATCCCTGTGCCGCCTTTCTACCAATGGGAGTCGAGGCTATTAATCGTATTAACCAAAACCTAATCCTGAAAAGATAAAATCAGATTCGAGGTGACTAAACAGTTCGTAATAGTATGAGCAGTTGGATTGCACAGCCAGGTTTTAGGATAGCTTGCAGAGTCAGCTATCTGCAACATTCACGCAACATTTCTTTTGCATAGTGGGCTGGGTCCTGAATGTGTCCAGAAAAATCCCAGACATCCAGTAGTTCTACATGAATAGAATTAGGGAGCAAGATAGGATGCCTATCAAATGCCATTTCTGGAAGCAAACAGGAAAGTTTGCAAAGTGAGAGTGGCTGCATACAAATTTAATAGATAAAATAAAACAAAAATAAATAAAATGGAACATAAAATTCTTTATTGGCCAAGTGTGATTGTGCACACAAGGAATTTGTCTCGGGTGCATAACCTCTCTGTACATACAAGCAATAAACCATCGTAAAAATACATTCAACATAAATCATAAGATACAACACACTTAGTGACAGCCATAGGATACTAACTAAGCAATCAACATAAATCATACTAGGATATTAAATAAAACAATATAAATCGTATGATACAAGCAACAAAGTTATAGTCATAAGTAGATAAGGAGATAGGTAATAGGAAAGATAAGAAAAATAGTAGTAACATAGCCTTACTAGATAGTTTAAAAATTTAGAACATGGCTTTTTTATTTTAAAAAATCGATTACTGAAAGCACCTTATTGAGATATCAAATATCAAGGACATAATTCTGTAATATATAAATTTTGGTTATTTTTATGTATCATATAAGGCAGTGTTTCCCAAACTTGACAACGCTGGCTGTGGAATTCTGGGAGTTGAAGTCCACATGCCTTAAAATTGTCAAGTTTGGGAAACACTGAATAAGGTACAAACATGCATTTCATATATTTAAAGTTTTATTATATAGTTACCATTTATTCTGTTTGGCATGAAAAATCTGGACTCCTCATGTAAATGATGGCATAATTCATAATTCATAAACATAGTTATGGCATTATTCAACCAGGAATTCAAATTTAGCCTCCCAGAAAGTCCTCTCAGATGTAACTAGAATCTTGCTAGTCAGATGTGAAAAATCTAAGGCAGAACAAATGTACTATGGCAGTGGTTCTCAACCTTTTCTTCACCACAGACCCCCTTTAAATATCTTTTGTGGCCATGGATCATGGCCACGGACCATCGAGATTTAAATCATAACATTTCATCAAGACTTTGCGGACCCCCTGTGATAACATCATCCCCCCCCCCCCATGGATCTGCAGACCACAGATTGAAAACTGTTGATCCAGAATTAGGGGACAGCATCGGAAGTATGAATTGTGAATATGTGTAGATGGCCCTGCTGTCTTTGGGCACTTGCAGAGTCATGGATGCAGGGTCATGAAAGGACAGCACCACTTGGGAACATATGGTGTCTTTAGGGAAACACCCAAAAGGGAACATTTTTAGCTACTTCTGCTTTCTTCCTTCCTTCTTATCTACAGTATGCCAGCCTTACAGGGTGAAGTCTTTATCTTATGTGTGTCAGCTTTGCTGGGTGGATTGCGTATGTCAGTGGTTCTCAACCTTTTTAATGCCGCGACCCCCAACCGGTTGTAAGTCGAGGACTACTCAACCAGTCGTAAGTCGAGGACTACTCAACTGGTGCAGCACCGTTTGCAAAATGGGACTTTTTGGCGGGCTCAGCAGGGCAGAGACAGCCTGGACAATTCCTATTGGCTTTTGAAAGCCAATAGAATTAGACCCTATTCAAGAGAGTCTATTCTATTGGCTTTCAAAAGCCAATAGAATAAAAGGGAGTAGCACAGCTAAGGAAAAGGGGGGGGGGAAATGGCGGACTGCGTTGTTTGGCGACCCCCGTGAAATGGTCGTTCGACCCCAAATGGGGTCCCGACCCACAGGTTGAGAACCACTGGCTTATGTAATCAAAAAGTATAAAAATAGGGATTTTCTGTCATTCGGGGCTCCTCTCTTTTTGAAGGGCCCGTCTTTGTTCAGCTGAATAAAAATGTAAAGTTTAAACTTCTGGTTTCCTGTACTTATTTATCAAGCAACACCTCAGAGTCTGCCCAACAGAACCACTGTACTAAGGTATTCTTATCTATTTCAAATAGTTCACAGAGTACAGTATCTTGTTTTTATATGAAAACAAGGCTCCTAAACCTTAGCTTAGAATTCGTTATACTTACTCTGGCACACAGTTCCAATTTACGAAAATTTGCCATCTTTTTAAAATTGCAAATAAACCCTCCTGTTAACATTTGCCACTTTAACAAATGAGCATTTGGGGATATGCATAGTAACATCTGATTATTAGAAGCAATTAAGAGAATATTATCATTTTTACTGCTGCAGTATGACGGCAATATGTCAGAAAGTTCTAAACATTTTTGCTTTCAGATTACGTTTACTATGGAGGGAGGCAAAGTGAGTGGGTTAGGATTAAGAAGTGGCAGAGCCAAAATTAGGCTACGTTTGATTTTTAAAAAAATAAAATAAAATAAAATAAATAATTCTTTTCCATATTAAAATGCAATATCAACTTTTGGAGGAGCTTAACAACCTTCTTCAAAGTTTAGAAGGGAATAATGAACTTACAATTGCAGCTCCATTCAGTCACCCCGACTCTACCCTGAATAAAGGGAATAAAAGGTCATAAAAAGAAGAAAAGAATTTACAATTACAGAATTCTGGGTTGGTCTGCGTGCTGGAGAATTCTGGGTGATGAAGTCCACACATGTGAAAGTTACTGTACTGAGCCTAGGAAACTGTACTCTGGATGAATCAGGTTGAAGAAGAGATGTTGATCTTCCTAGGCCAGGGGTAGGCAACCTTAGCTCTTTTATGACTCATGGACTTCAACTCCCAGAATTCCTGAGCCAGCCAAGGTTGCCTACCCCTGGCCTAGGCTATCTCAGACCATTGTCCACAGTTTCAAGAAGCACATGTACAGTCCAGTTGGGCAGCCAACCCAGAGTTGGCCTTTTCCCTTTATCCCATAACTCTGACAAGTATTAAACTCTGACTGCAGTCAGAAGAAGACATGACATCACTCTTATCATATCCTAGGGGAAAAGGAAGCTTTGGATTCCAGCCACATAATTAGAAAGACCAGGATATAATACTTCAGTATTCTGAGATCTCCTGGCTGTGTTGATAATCGTTTGGATGATGCCAAGCTATTTTGTGTTTAATTTTTATATTTTGCATTTTATGTATTTTAGTGTGACCTTGCTAAATTCATGTAGATGAGATGGGTAGCTACATAGATCACAGAAATAAATAAATTATTTGAACCTGAGACCTATCATCTACTGACTTTCCATAGATTTCTCTCGCTGTTTGCTCAGAGCCCATTCATGCTTCACCTTCATCCTTCAGTTCAATTCCTTTTTTGTTCATGTGTATTCTAACAACCTGGCACAGATACAAAAATTATCAAAAGTTCTTGTTGTTTAATACAGTGTCTGGCATTAAACGCAAACCCAAGTTTTCTTGTATTTATTTATACAGAAATCAAAGCAACTACATAATTTTAAAATACTTTTCCAAGGAGTGAAATGCTTGTTTACATAGTTCTGAATATATGGTGAAATATGTTGCCACTAAATGCCTTGCAGGGATTAAGGAATGTAATTTTTCCTCTCTCCCATAGAAAAGTAAATGAATGTAATGATGTTTGCTGAAGCTAAAAAATAACTATCTTTGAAGGGAAGCTTTACTGAAAAGTAGAATGTCCATTGATTCATTCATTCACTTATTCATCAGAGACCACTCAACTCCAGAAAGATGGGACAGCTCACAATATAAATAAATAATATGAATACATGAAATAATATGAATACATGAATAAAAACAAGATAAATAGGAAAAAGATAAGACAGAACACAGCCAAGCTGGAAAAGAAAAAAAGGGGAAAAAAACAATGACAAAGCTGGTTAACAACAGAAAAAAACACATAAAACCAACATCCAGCCAGGGGCTGCAGCTGCCCCAGTCCTTTAACACAGACGATTGTCATTTTGTATCTTCCTTCTTTATTTAACAATTTAATAATATTTGCATGATTGAGTTAGACATTTTAGAGATTCAAAATTGCAAGTACGAAATACATAAAACAAGAGCAGTATACTTCTTCCATAATACCAATTGCTAAAGGTTTCATTTGCTGTGGCTTATAAGATGTATGGTGCACTTTGCTCACACTAATTGCTGGGCAATTATCCAAATTGATGAAAGAAACCTCATGGCCATAATGACACTCTTTGTGCTCACCCATGTTTCTCAGAACTGTCCTTGCTGATATCCATGAAGGCTAGCTGAATTCCAGGGTATTTCCAAGGTAAAACATAAACCCATATGATTAAAAATGTTTACCATCCCTGCCGCAAAACCTGGGGGGGAGGGGCCATGGAACTATAAAGCTAATAAAGTCTACAATGAACAAATCCAGACTATGTTCAACAAAGACCACCAACCTGACACCATAATGTTACCTAGTTGGCCAGCCTGTCCCATGGCCTTTTTTTGTGGCACTCAGGACCATCTCTTTCACCCTTACTCTTGAAAACTGACAGCATAGTTTCCCATCATTTTGAGTTGGAAAAGAGATGAACATGGTAATATAAGCCCTAAATTGGTATATCTCTTTTAAAAAAGAAAGAAAATCCAAATCTTTCTCCCCAGCCTCAGCACTGATCCCATGTGTGATGCTGCCCTTAAGGTTCCAAAACATATTAATTAATTAATTAATTAATTAATTAATTACTAAAAATTGACTCTTTTTGCCTTAAATTGTGGACTCCTTCCACAAAATTAAGCAAGCCCTGAAAGATGGCTTCATTATTTTCTTGTTTTGGTAACTGCAGTTAGATGCTGCAATTTGTGTGGCACCTCACTTCTCAGCTCTAAGCAACCTACAATATAATACAAAACACACACATACAATATAAAAAAAACATAAAAGTGACAATTACTAAATCAATACATAGTATTGAAAATAATACTTTAGAAAA